TATTCCCTTGTCATATTGAACTGTCATTTTGTAGCTGTCTGGTAAATCCATATTTTTCCCTTTTTAAAACTGGTCTTTCCTATTACTAGTCAGTATTCCAGCCTCTAACATAACTTGAACTCTGCTTGTGTGTTCAGGGCAGAAATTATTAAATTATTATCTAAGGTTGTAGTTGATTGCTGTATCTCACCATAGCTGTTTGCATAACTCAGCCATACACTGGTAAAAATATAGAAAGTGTCTTGGAATAACTGAGCTGCTGACTAGCTCTTACTGAGAATGTTTTTGAAAAAAAAAGTTTAAGGTGAATATTTTTGGGTTTTTCTAGGATTTTTTTGAAGAGGTAGAAGATCTAAAACATGCTGTACAGGAATCTGTGAAACTGAACAATGAGTATGAAAAGTGCTTGAAGCAAATCAGTGTAATATATGGACTTCCTTTTACAGCACATTTGTAACTACTGGGTAATTTAATGCCAGGTAGAGTTTCTACATAATTTTATAATTACTGCAACATTTAAACCTACCATAGCTTAAGTGGTACCATAGTTTGATAATATGGATTCAGTAATGTGATCTCAATATGACAAGTGCTTGGAAATGTATTTTGTGACCATGATTTTTTTTTTGTTTATATATTTTTAAATAAACTGTGATCTGCATAACTTCAACTAAGTTTCAAACCCATCTCTTTCACACTTGCAGAATATATTCTGGTTGTGAAACCAGAATGAAATTGTTTTATTTTTCAGAATTTCCCAATTTATCCTTTTCTGTAAGCTACATAAAATCAAAGTGTCTGTGTAGATTTGTCAGTCTGCGTGAATTTCACCACTAAGGATGTACTAATGCAAACAGAAATTATTTCTATGATTAAATTATTGCAGAGGGGTTTCTTAAAAGAAAAATACTAAATCTCTGCTTGAAATTTTTCTTCACTCCCAATAATAAGTGAAAAATTGTGGATGAAGGAAGGATTTAGTGTTCAGAATTGGAAAGTATATTCAGAGCATTTTGCGTCATCAAAAGAAGAATTCTTTGATTCAAGGGTGAGGTACGTGAAGAACTCTGGTGTTTGAAGAGCTGAAAAGGAAAGTGGGAGTGCAGAAAGTCACAGTCCACAAGGCAGAAATGTTGTGTTGCTTCAGGGAGGGCGAGCAGGGAATGAAAAGAGACAACTCCCAGTTACAAGTGTAGCTTCAGAACCTTGGGAGATTTGAATCTTAACTTGTTTGTAATGACATGTAAGGAAAGTTTAACATAGTTACAGTACAGAACAATGTTTTTCTGAAAGGTGTAAATCTCTGCCTTTGTGACATTGTGATGGTGGATGGAGTTGAGTGAGAACTGCTTAGGGCAGAAAGACTTGTTTATAACCTAATACAGCTTCTTTAGCTTCATAAAAGTACACGGACACTCCCGAGGGATAGGATTAGGAGTAGGATTAAGACTCTTGTGTCCCACTTGGTTTGTTAGGAGAGTTTTATGCAGTTGTAATTTAATAAAGAAATTGGCCTCAAAGCGTGTGCGGTGTTCGGAGTTGCATATTCACTAAGTGATAGGGTAAAGCTCCAGAGCTGCTTGTGCCTGCTCTGGCTGTAGACCACTGTGTTCCCTTGTTTCATTCTTGGCTCACTGTAAATTAAAACTGGATAATGTTCTGAACAAGAGATGGGGAAGGGAAACAAAAGAGGAGCAATGCAAATCTGTGTTGCCAGTAAACCTCCTGGAAGATAATAAGGAGGATAGCATGTATAACAGAGAATTATAAGTGCAGAAATGTTTGTAACATTTGCTAATGAGTAAAATAAGCATGAATGCTGGAGGAGGAAGCAGTGCCAGTTACTGGAGTCTTTTCCCTCCCAGTGTTGTGGTGTAAAGTTACACTTTCAGCATGTTTACACTTTGGCCCCGTTGTTAAATGGTTCAGTAATTGTCCTCGTCCACAGGCTGATTTTTAAATGTCGTGCAGAGCAAGAAGCAGTGAGGAATCCTTCAGTCTTTTCTCATAACTAAGGTCTCCCAGCTGTGGTGGGGAAATCTGCTCTAATGAGAGTAATGAGCCGTGAGAGGGGGCGCGGCAGCGACGCGCGGAGCCGCAGCTCCAGCCAGCAGCGGCTGTGCAGCCCCGGCGGAGGTCGGCTGGGATGGGACGGGATGGGATGGGAGCGGAGCAGCCGTGGGCTGGCAGGTGGCAGAGCGAGGTGGGCAGGGATTTCTCTCAGCCAGTAGCAGGAGCTGTCTTTCAGCTAGATCTGCATCGCTGCCTGTCTATGAGGTTGGGTTGGGGTTTTTTTTTTCTTTTTTTTTATTTCCCTTTCCGCTTTTCCTTTCACTATCAGGAAGGCTGGCGGTGTAGGGTGCAGATGGGGCACTTCTGGCAAGCTCCGCATCTGCGGCACGACTCCCCAGACGGTGACAATTAGCGGCAGGAACGCCGGAGGAGGAATGCATGTGGAAGTGACCGGCTCTGGGGCACTGATTGCTGTTGCTGTCTGTTGCTGTCTGTTGCTGCCTGTGACTTCTGAAAATGGCAGTTCTGCTTTGAAGATATTTTTATATTCTACTGATTGCAGGTTTGGTTTGTTGGTGTGGGTATCTTTTTTTTTTTTTTTTTAAACTTGACAGTATCAGTTTGCTCTTGAAGCTGTGATATCTATCTATTTATTTATTTATTTTGAGGCTCTATTTTATGGCTAATGCAAGTTAACTTATTGGCATTTTCTATCCAAATTAATGCTGTTTTTGTTGGAAGAGGAGACTGTCTCAGACTACCAAAGTCTGCTTCCAAATAAGCACTACTTCCTACTTTGCAGGATAAAGCCATATAAATTTATGGATAATAACATTCTTTGGATAAGAATTTGCCTGTCTTTTTGTCCTTGTTGCTGTGCCATTTAGCAGATTCCTGTGCTTTGATCTTTCCTCCTTGTGAGATGTACAATTAAGGTGTTGTTATTTTGTTTGCTAGTCAAAGTGCAGGCAAGAGCAGTATTAAACAGGTTAATCAGTTTATATGTGTAGTGCCACGTATTGTGGAATTGTGACATTTGGCCAGTGGCTTTCTCCTGCTAAACCAAGTTTAGGTAGAACTGAATTCCATGCAATTAAGTATTAGTCATGCTACTGTTTAATAATGCATATTAGAAATGTTTCATGATGCAGGCTGGTGGTTCTTTGTCTCAAGTATTTTGTAGTGCAGATAAGGAAAGCTTGTGTTTGAAAATAAGTGGCTATTATCAAGTAGGGGTTTTGGTTGGAAAAATAATGTAATAATCATCATGTGTCAGTATTAACTTTCCATGAGACATAAATCAAATGGGCTAGTTCTTAGGACAGTGAAGCAATTTAACTTTGTTCTGTGTTCTGCGTATAACTGAGGCCAAGATTTTAGAAACAATCCACTAATTTTGTATGGATTTGTAATTTTGTCCCAATTTTCCTGATATGTGGGGTATAAATTTTAAAAGGTACCAAATATTCACAGCTGTAGTCAGATTTAGCTAATTCAGACTTGGTCTGCTAATCACTGAATACTATGTTCAGTAATTGCTCACATCCTGGATATTAATCCTAAAGTAGGATTTTTTTCTATTGTAGAAAGCAAAATTGCAATCCCGTTGTTGGGTGGGGGACCACATTTTGTGGATTTCTCTGGAAGTTCTTCCTGAGCCTGTGCAGCAGCATCTCTGTAGGTCCCCTGGAGTCCCTTTACTGTGACCATGCTACAGAGTTCACCTCTGAAGGATGAGGCTTTCAGACCTGCAGTGCTCTTCAGACTGAGACCCTGAGAGGCTGGACCTGGAAACCGAGGGATTTCATTGGAGAGTAAGGGCTGGTGCCTCTGTACTCTCAGCTGGGATACTTTCTTGTGGGTGATTACCCTGAAAAAGTGTGCCTGCCAAGGGCTGTGGAAGAAACAAAAAAATACTCAAGTTTCAAAAGGGGTAGATTCCCTTTTAGGTTACAAGGTATCCAAGGCAGCAGAAAACAGTAAATACAGTTACCTCACCAGTTTGGGCTCATTAATTGTTTCTCTACAGCTGCAGTGAAGTTTCTTTTTCCTGAGGCTTAGATGTTTCTTTTCCCCTTGTCAGAAATGAAGCAGCGTTAGTTAATTAGCTGTGTATCTGTGCCTGCACTCCTGGAAACGTCCTGTAAACTTCTTCTGGGACAGTGAATTGCCCTTGGTTCTTGGAGATTACAATGAACCGTATCAAAGGTGGTAGTGCTATTGATTTGGTGTAGTCATGTTCTGCACTTGTGCCAGAACTCTGGGAGTTGTTTAGCCTGGAGAAAAGGAGGCTGAGGGGAGACTTTATTGCTCTCTCCAACTTCTTGAAATTAGGCTGTAGCCAGCGGGGTGTTGGTCTGTTCTCCCAAATAAGTGATGGGACAAGAGGAAGTGGCCACAAGTTTGCCAGTGGAGATTTAGATTAGATTCTAGAAAAAATTTCTTCACTGAAAGGGTTGTCCTGTATTGGAACAGGCTGCCCAGGCTGAAGTGGAGGAGTCACAATCCCTGCAGGTATTTAAAAGATGTATGGATGTGGCACCTAGGGACATGGTTTAGTGGTGGACTTGGCAGTGCTGGGTTAAGGCTTGGACTCAGTCTTGGGGTTCTTTTCTAACCTCAGTGATTCCATATGGATCCTATTGGATTTTTTTTTTCTTTGTTGCAGCTGCTGTTCAAGCTAAGCTCTGTCTTTACCCACATTTGACCCCCACTCATAGTGTTTTCACTGTGAAGTTCTTAAAAAAGCATCATGCACCAAGATCCTGGCTGGCTGTAATCTGCTTTCCTTGGTGCTGGTGGGAGCGAGTGCAGTTCCGTGCTCAGCTGGCCAGCTGTGTGCCTGGAGGAGAACTTTATGCTTTCGGTCAATTACATATTCCCAAGCCTTTCAGGGTGACAAGAAGCTAACACTGTAGGCCTTGCATGGTAGCTTTCCACAGGGAATGCAGACTCAATGAATATTTTATTTTGTATTTTCTCCACAGGGATTTTGTGCTGACAAAAAGCCCGGTGTGATCCTTTGAGCAGCCCAAGCTGTTTTCATCTGAGAGGAGAACTAGAGCCATTGTCTTATGCTGGTACTGCAATGCTGAGTTCTAGCTCGACTGCTGTGAAGAATCTCCCTCTGAAGAGGAAGCTCTGTTTTCTGCTGAAACTTGTGTGCTTTGTCAGCTCAGTGTTAATATTTTGTGAATTTTTAATTTACTATGTGGTGATATTTCAATGCCGATGGCCAAAAGTGAAAGGTGGAGCTCACATGACTGAAAAAGATTCAGTCCTAAAGGCCATAATTTTAGCTGATACACACCTACTTGGTGAAATCAAAGGACATTGGCTGGATAAGCTAAGAAGGTAACTATTAATTTTTTAAAATAATCTCTAGCCAGTTTTAGAGTTTTTAGTAGTAGCTAATGGGACAATAATTCACTGTTCTATTAAACAGCTATTCATTAGAACTGTAATGAAAAATAAACAAGCTGCTATTACTTCTTGCATGTCTTGTATCACAGTGGAATTACCCACCAGGTAAGATGCACCTACTGTCCTTACACTTGATTTCTAAGTATTTAATTTGGATTTCATAATATATTTTCATATTTCAGTATTAGAGCCAGTTTCCCATTCCTATTGCCAGGCTATGTGTCTGTATCCAAAGCTGAGGATCCAGAGGTAAGGCAGTGATAACTGGTTCTGTATTTTCCTTTCAGGGAATGGCAAATGGAGAGATCTTTCCAAACTGCCTTATGGTTACTGCAGCCAGATATTGTTTTTATTCTGGGAGATGTTTTTGATGAAGGAAAATGGAGCTCACCTCAGGTATGACATCATCAGCTGTCTTGTTTCAAAAAAGGAGGATTTCTTGAAGGAAATGGAAGCAGATTAGGTATGCAAAGCTTTGCTTAGTACTGCTACAGTTGTCCTGTTGGTAGAAGTTTCTAGCTTTTCAGATAGGAGTTGGAATGTTGTGATTCTCCTTCATTTTTGGAAGTACCTTGACAGTTTTGTGCCTCCTATAAAACTTACACAATGTAAACCTCTGAGTTTGTGCTTCTGTGTTATACACTTGTGATGGGCCAGCCCTGGCTGGATGGCCAGTGTCCAACAAAGCTGCCCTGTCACTTCCTTCCTTGACTGGAGAGGGGAGAGAAAACACAAACAGACCTGCCTCCTTTACTAACCTTGGTGACTGCAGGGCTCTTCCTCTCACAAATTCTTACTCCTCTCTCTGGCTGCAGTTGCAGGGATTCCTTTTTTGCCACCTTCCTTATTCTGTTATCCCAGAGGCACTGCCAGCCTTGGCCAGCGGTGGGTCCAGCTTGGAGCTGGCTGGCACCGGCTCTGTAGGACACAGGGGAGGCTCCCACAGAAGCCACCCCTGCCGCTCCTCCAGTACCAAAACCTCACCTTGCAAACCCACTACAAAACCTTTGATGCTGTGGAACAGCACCGATTTCTTCTTCTGTTGTTCTCCTGCAGGCCTGGGCAGATGATGTCAGGAGGTTCCGGAAAATGTTCCAGCATTCAGTTTTTACGGAGCTGGTGGTCATCGCTGGGAACCACGACATCGGATTTCATTACGAGTGAGTCTCATCAGTGCCAGGAGTACACAAGTGCCAAGAATGAAGGGTCAGCGTGCCCACAGTAACTGTGCAGGGTCTGAAGCACCTGTTTTGTGGTTATATGGGAACTTTTGGATCATGATCAAATTAGAAAGGGTTGTAATTTAGAGTAAGACCTGTGCACAAAACAGGTTCATGCTTCTCTGGCCATATGAGGGTTGTTCAGAGCTGATCCTTCTGTACTGACATGGAATCCTTGAAGCTGCTTTTCCTTGTTCTGGGCCTTCTCCTTAGAAAGGCACCTGAGCATATTCCCACTCCTGTTAGCACAGGAGAGTGTAAATGCCCTCACTCTGCTGGTGCTTGCACTGATGGGAGGGGCTGGAGGACACAAGAGGTGTCAGAGCATCCCTGTGAGTTTCCTGAGTGATTGTGTGAGCTGGATAATGGAGCAGCAAGCTGCATGAGTGGTCAGCAAACTGTAAAGCCGCTGTGTCAGCTGAGTTCCAATGGCAATTTCTTACCTCAGTTGTATTTTTGCTCTGTGACACAGAATGACTACTTACAAGATAAATCGATTTGAAAAGGTTTTCAACTTTACTTCAGGAAAGCTGATAACTCGGAAAGGAATAAAGTGAGTATATTTCATTTTTTTCTAATGAAATATTATGGGAATGCTTCACTTAGGGCCTGTTTTTTTTAATCACCTACCTTATGATGTGTTAAACCTCAAACACTTTGTACAGACCTGTAGTTTGATATGGACAGGAAGCTGTACTTAGAGCTATGTAAAGTCTAACAATTTCCTTTTAAATGGAAAAGTACTGTGGGGTCAGAATCCATTTCTCTGGTGTGACTTTATACTTCCTTGCAGCAGGTAATGAGCCATGGCTGTAAACATAGCAGGATAAAGAAACATGAACCAACCCCCCTCTATGTTTATAAATTAGGAGTTCCATTAATTTTAATAACTTTAGTCTGCAGAACTTAACCCTTGTTTGAGGAATTTGGGAACACAGCAGTTATGTGTCTGCAGTTTTTCCACAAGGTGGGGTAGTAACGCTCGAGCTGGTTTTGGCTTCGAGCAGACCTCGGTGCAGTTTGTTCTCACAGCTGTGTCCCCATGGCTGCACTTGGCTGCCGTGTGCTGTTACCTCCAGACACCGCGCAGGAAACGAAGAGGGAATGCAGTGCTGGGTTTGTGGAAAGGTGCTGAAGTCTCAGAGTCAGGAAGGGAAGGCCCATCGCCACTCTGTGTTTGGCATGTGTGCCCTTGGGTTGTATCCACCTGTGGAAATGTGAGATTCAAAACCTACAGGCTTACACTGGTTCCCTTAATTAAGCAAACAGATAAATGTTTAATTAAAAATTCTGAACAGGTCTGGAAATGGTTGTGTCTATTTTAGGAAGATTTCTGAGCTTCATGAATGCTCAGTATAAAGCTGTTGCTTATCATGCAGACGTGGGGTACTCAAGATATGTATTTCAGCTGTTTAAAAATAATTATTAAGGAACATCTCCATGTCTCCTTTGATAAAACAGCATAGCAGAATTCTTGTATGCAGTTGTAGATTGCCTGTCTGGTATCCATTAACTGCAATGAGCTACATTATTAATATTCCTAAAATAAATATTCCTAAATAAACTATTTTACAACAAATCTATGGTATAAAAGCAGCTTAATTTGCTAAAAGAGAATTAATTTTTGTTTTACTATTGACTAGTATCTCTTAAGTGAAGCATTCAGCTTATTTTTGTCTTTTAAACAGACGGAATTGAACTGGGGATGTATCTCAAGCTGAATGTGTGACTAAACGGGTATGAATCTTGTGGCAGAACTTAAGGTGATTTGAAATCTACAGGGAAACCTTCTATTAAGAATAAAATCCTGCTTTTTGTGTCAGAGACCACAAAGTACAAAACTAAGTTTGTTCAGCGCAGTCACCCAAATGCAGTGCTGTTCTGCTTTTCAGTTGATCTGAAGAAATTCAATGTCTCAAATTCTGTCTCTGAGGTCTAAACTCTGTGGGGAGAGAAGCAAGTTCTCCTTTCCCTCAGAATTTAGTTTAGTGATGAACTTTTAACATTCCACTAGAATACAACTTAAGTATCCATTAAAATAAAAAAAAATAAAAATCTTTAGTGTAAGCATGAAGCATAAGGTACATTGTGCAATCTAAGTAACAACTGTATAAAGGAGCCAACCAGGCAGAGACATGGCTGTGGTACAGATACTCAGAGGAGGATTTGTAACACATGATTTCAGGAGCTGTTACATTCTGCTGCTTTGCTGAGCTATGTCCAACTTAGGAACAGTTGCATTTTATAAAATGAAGTTTATCCCATACGTGTGCATGAACAACAAATGCCTTCCTGTCCTCCCCATTTCTCTTAGCCCACCCCCTGGTATTTTCCAGCTTTGTCCTAGTGAACAGTGTGGCCATGGAGGGCGATGGCTGTGCTGTCTGCCGTACCTCAGAGGCAAAACTTGTGGCACTTTCTCACAAACTGAATTGCTCCCAGCAGGTAAGGGATTATTGAAGATCTGACTACAGCCAGAGACTCCTCTGCCACAATGGGAATGCTGATACTGTAGCATAGCCAGGATACAACCAGACTCTACCGAAAAAATCTGCTTCCAGTTCACAGTGCAACTTGTTAGCAAGTCTTTCTCCCCCCTCACATCCCTGTTAACCATGTTTACTTAATTATTAACAGTGTTGCTTAGCACTAATGGTGTCAACTTCCTTGTCAGTGCTGCCAACAGTGTAATTTCCTGTGTTCCGAGCAATGGCAGTTCTGTAACCCTCCCTTTGACTCCAGATACACAATCCTGCATTTATATTTATGGATATTATTCTGTTTTATAGCCTTCAAGCATGTTCTTTTAGTTTCCTGATTCTACTGCAATGCTTTCCTCATACCCTAGTAGTGTTTTAATTGTATTTTTTCACCATATCAAATCACTTCTTGTATTTCCTTCCTCTTCCCTTTTTCACAGGCTGACTGGATGCACAGTAGGCAGCATGACTGACTGGGCTGGCAGTCAATCAGGAAACCAGCTCCCAGTGGAAAAATGGCCAGACTCTATTTCCCTTGGGCTGCCCTCAAACTCCTTTGCCTTGTTGGTGCAGAGATCTGCTGCTGCTGCTTTCTGCAGTTGATGAAGCTCAAAACTATACACTAAAGCAGCACAGAATCTGAAAAATATAAGAGCTAAAACTTAAGGCATCACAGTCAGAAAGAGCACAGCTGTATTTACAGCACGTACAGAATGGGGAGTAGTTCTTACAGTGGGTAGTATCTGATCTAAACTGCTTAACAAAAAGCAGTTTAGCTCAGATAATAACATATAACAAAAACCAAATCCAACAACAACCCCACCCTCACTAACCCCTTAAAACCTAGCTATTGCTTAATTATCTTCACTCCTTCTATGGCTTCATTTTGTTCACAGAAACCAAATCATTCCAACAAAAGATGCAGTGATGTGGAAAAGCTTCCAGCTTCAGAACCCATCCTTTTACAGGTGTGTTAGAAGTGGGGGGAGGCAACATATTGACATGTTGTTTTTGTGGATTTGTTACTGTTCCAGAAAGGCTGGATCATTAACAACTAATCCTTGCTTTTAATTACTCCCAGCATTACCCTCTCTATCGGAAAAGTGATGCTGAATGCACTGGAGAAGATTCTGCTCCTCCAGAGGAGAAAAGCATCCCCTTTAAAGAAAAGTATGATGTACTGTCTCAAGAGGCATCACAAAAGGTTTGATTTCTTGGGAACTTGAGTGGCAGTGGGTGGGTGAGAGGGGGACATGACTGTAGATATAAATAGATTAAAGAATTGTGGTAAGGCTGTTGGCTGAGATAAACAGAGCACAGCTGCTCCTGTCTAATGAGGCCTGGGAGAGGCTGCTTGTTAGAGCTGCTCCCCTGAGGATCCTCACCATCATGGCCTTGGTCCTGCCAGGATTCCCAGGGGCAGCTCCTAAGTCTTGGCACTCTTAAATCTGCTGTGGTGCCATTACTTCCACTTCAGCATTCTGCATTTTCTGTACTGTGTAAATTATTGACACACCTGTCAATAACGTGGACGAAGCCACAGTTTTCCAATACTTTGAAAGCATAATTTCTGTTGAATTAGTAACAAGAAAATTTAAAATATTCCCTTAAAACTCAATGGTCATTGTTTCTTTCCTTCTGCATAAATGTCTTCGCTTAAAGATTGTTGAGATTCTTCCTTAGGTAAAAAAATATCATTGCTTCACTAAACCCAAAGTTTTTCTCTTTGTGATATCCACAGCATGCTGTTGCCTTTGTTCTGATCTGTATGAAAAAAAAAAGCCCAGTACTTGGGATCAGGCCTAAATGGGTATGACTGATACTGCAATACCAACAGAGTTCTTACTGGAAAACAGAAGTTTACAGGAAACACTTTGTAAACACATGAGAATTGCCATAATGTTCAAAGGAAAAAAAAAGAGGTTTTTAAGTTCAATTTCTTTGTAGCTGTGACTTAATTTTTGTGCTTTACTATTTTGCGTTCCAGCTGCTATGGTGGTTTCAGCCCCGTTTGATTCTCAGTGGGCACACTCATAGTGCTTGTGAAGTGCTGCACGCAGGGAAAATTCCAGAAATCAGTGTCCCATCATTCAGTTGGAGGAATAGAAACAATCCTAGTTTCATCATGGTAAGTTTTAATTTTTTTTTTATTTTTGTCAGATAACTTTCATAGATAAATCAACATGGCAGTCAGCTATTATTTTTAAAAACTGATTCTACCTGTAAAAACGAAAAATAATAAAAAAAAACTGCCTACCCACCCAACCCACTCAGTACACTGCATCCACTTTATAAAGTACATCTGTGGGAGCCACATGTTCTGTGTGGTACAAAGCAATGCTGCTAAAGACCTAATTAATATCTGGGTACATTTTCTTAGAAAGAGAGTGCACTGTAAACTATTGACTTGTAAAAATAATCAGTATTGTGCACTGAACAGCAGAAAGACCAGTTTGGCTTGGCTGATTTACCAGCTGTGAAAACAAGACTGTATCCACCTCAAACCCTTTTGCACGGTGGTCACGGTTTTCAAACGTGTGCATTAGTGCAGTGAAAGTGTTTGTGACGTGCCCACAGTCTGCCTCCTCGTTGCCAGTTCACATACAGTGTGTTGGTTATGCTTGTGCAGGCAGTTCCAGTGCTCAGTATATCCTTAGAGGTAAATCAATTAGTTCCCCAGTTCAAAAATAAAACAGAACTCTTAGAAACTTGGAGTAAGAAGCAAAACCTACAATCTGTTCATAGAGTAGTCTGTGACTTGGAGGGGGAAATCTTTTATGTATGTTTTACTGCTGTTGAGTTTAGGCTGCTTAATACACAGATAACCCCATATGTTTAAATTCACTTTATGCAACTGTTAATATTTGATGTTGAAAGTAGTTCTGTTTATTTCATAGTCCTGAGAGTAGCTGCCTTCAAACTGCACACGCACTCTGCACACGCCAGACAGCACATCTTCACTGCAAAACAAGAGGTTGGCTAATTAAAGTGGCATCCTCTTCACTACTGTTTGAACTCCTCAGCCTCGATCTGCTGTAAACTGTAATTTAAACTGCAAAGTCAAGCCAAAACCCAACAAAGTTCTTTGTTGCTGAAGTTCATATTCCTAATTTGGATTAGCCAACGTGTGTTTTTGCAGCATGTACTGGGTAAGGAGGAGGGCTTGGGGAAGGAAGGGGCACATTCACAAAACCTAACTTCAGCCTGGAAAGGCTCCTTCCTGGTGGATTTGCAGCAGCTAAAGTTAGGCTTCTCTTGAAGGCAAATCAGAGGAGGAGCCCAGCTCTTTGTTTATGCTAGATGGGAAGATTGGCCTCTGGGCTAATGTTGGCCTGGTGAATATTCCAGTTAGTGCCCAGCACCACAAGGTATGGACTCTTCAGCCCCCTGGAGAAGGCACTGGTACTAGGAAACTGGCCCCAACCCTTGCCACCCAACACAGGGATTTAGAAATTGGAGATCTGACAGCTGTGGTGTTCACTCCTGATTCAGAACCCACTGTAACACAGCAAAGTGACAGTCTTCATTTCTTTTCCAGGGCAGCATAACACCAACTGACTTCTCCCTCCAAAAATGCTTCCTTCCATTTGAGAGCAGAGTCTTCACTATCTACTGTGCAGCAGGTGCTCTGCTTGTGATCCTGGTACTAGCTCATGTTCAGCTTCTCACTCCACCGTTTTATTTTGCTCAGCGTTTAATCAGTAAGCATAAAGCAGTATGAAGAGCCAGACATCTGCATTCAGTCACTGAAATACCAAAGCTGAGAACAGTCAAACATCAGACTATATTCATGCCAGCAAATGACCTAATTTGATTGCTAGTCTGAAGGCAGGTTGCATTTACACATACCATAGAAGTCCTATACAGCTGATATGACTACTACAGGATAAATAATTAACTGAAATGAACGTTTCATGCTGTACAAAAATACTGTATTCGACAATCAAATGAGTCCTTTTCCTGCTATAATTTTTGTATCAAATATGTATATTAAAAGTGTAACTGTACATTATGTAAATCCTATAGCCTCATCACTTGTCTGCACTTGTGTCTTACCCTGGTGGAGGCTGAATCTTGCAAACTGGAAATGTTTCTCTGTTTTATTGCTGCATGGCCCTTCAAATGTCATAGTTGTGTTTGTTAGGGTCAGGCAGAATCTGGATGCATCAGCACTGAGAGATGTGGATTTCCGTAACCTTTTTATAGTGTTGTGTATAAGGGACTGTGGTTTGGGACAAGAAATCAGAAATCTTATGGTTCCTGACACAGTAAATTGTTAGCTGACTATAACTTGCAGTTCTCCATCTACCAGACAACACAGGGAAGAAGCTCAAGGATCCAGTTTGCTGATACACACTTGAAAACTGCTTAAAAAAAAAAAAAGGTAGGGTGACACCTCAAGCTGCTGCTTTCAAAAAGATGTGCTATGATGAGCTTAAAAAAAGAGGGCCCTATTGCATCCCAGAGATCTGTGGTGAGGGGCCCTCCAGTTGCTGATCTCCTGCAAGAAGGAAGGTCAAATACAGCTGCAGTAACATTATCCTATGCCTCAGCCCTCAGTCTACAGCCAGGGATAGGAATGCACCTTATTTTACATTCCACAAGTTCGGTTGACTTTAGTGTAGTGTCACATTTTGAACTGCACTAGCTCCTCTGTGGGGAAGCAGAGGCCACCAGCTGTGCCACAAAGATAAAATCTGAACTCAGCGTCTCCAGTGTGTGGGGGAAGGTGGGACAAGCCTACTGCTGCTCCCCACCCACTTTTCTGCTCCCCAGAAAAAACAGAAGGACTACTTCACACCAGGACCAGTTTTCCTGCTGATGGTCCTGCAGAGGCTGGGAGCTCTAACCTGAACTCCTGGTCTGGGGCTAGTTAAAAAAAAAAATACTATCTTTTGTTATTCATTCTATTACTTTCTTTGGCATGAGAAATAAGAGAATTCTGTTTACTGTTAGCTTATTCCACCCAGCCTTTCACTTTTTAGGAAATATGACTAAATTAAACATAAAAATTTCTGGGAAGAGAAAATGGTCATATTAGAGTATTTAAAATGGGATTGTTTTATATTAAACTGGAAACAAGTTCTCAGTTGGACTGTAGTCTGATTTTAAAAAGATGACGGATTGGGGTTTATAACTAATAACAATACAGTAAAAAGTTAATAAAACCTGCTGATTTATATGCCAGTGTGCGGACTGTGTTAGCTCTTCATCTCTCCCTAAATTTAAAATGAAGTGGGGGGAATGGTCCGAAGTGTGGTAAAACATTCTATAAAGTAATGTAGTCTAACACTTCTCTAGGTTTCTGTTATTGCAACTGTAATTTTAGACATTTGTACAGGTTATCTTGGACACAGGAAAAGTATATAGTCACAGACATAAAACACCTATGTATAAAATATAAAGCAGTGTTATAGTTACTAAAAAGGACATGCCTTATTGCTACAGCAATTCTTGCTTTTTATATATTGTACTGTACCACAACTTGTTTTGAGAATGTCATTTGCATAAATTATTCAAGTTTGAGAAATATTCACACATTTTGATTCTACAATATTTAAAATAAAATAATTTTCTAATGTGTCTCTTTATTAAAAGAGAAATAAAAATGTCATCTTGTAATTCTCTTAGGCCAGACACAAGGGTTTATACACCTTTTTTTTTTATCTTCTTTCTCGCTATTTACTTGCACAATGAAAGCCGCTGTTGGTACAAAGATTGAAGAGCTCTATAGAATGGTGCTTTACACATTCACAATCGGTCTGTGCAATTGTGAAGTTCTATGAATGACCAAAGAATTACCAAACATATTTTCTAAATATAAAGGACAAAAAAAAAAAAAAAAAAAAAAAAAACACCAGGTTGCAATTTGGACACTTGAATGAATTCCAATGTTTTAAAGCTGAGACTTCAAAAGAGAAAGGCATGTTTGCTGCAACATCCGGTGACTGTAATACCTTACTTGGAAAGGTAAGTGGTTAATTTGCATAATTTATAATTTTTATACTAAAGAGCATTTTTATATAAACCAGAAAAAAACCCCTAAACTCTACAGATAAAGTTCTTACCTCCAGTCACTGCTGCAGGTAAGGTTGACATCAAGCTGTACAGCGCAATCAAAAACATACTTACATCTTAGCTCATTTTACAGGTACAGCCATAATCAAGGCACAAAGATCTTCTACAAGTATTTTTCTTCAATAAAGTTGTACAAAATAATATTACATTTTACAGTCTGTACAATATAATAAACCAGCAGTAAAACAAAAAAATATATATAGGGAGAGGACTGTTGTCCAAGAATGATCGGAACTAAAAGGATCATTTGTGGACAGCACAAATAACATAAGTGAGGGTGGTAAATTTTCTGCCTAGATGCAACAGGCTGAAAAGTAGCTGTAATTCAAATGCCTGAGGTGTGCAGAGACACTTAGCTCCAAAACCCCAGAAAAATTGCTTTGTCTTCACCGTTCCTCTCATTATCTACTCTACTTCCTGTGCCAGTAACGGCTTAAAAGAGGAGGTCACTTTATCAGTTGACCTGCAACTCAGAAATGCTAAAAACTGTGACAGAGTAATAAATATTGTGGTGCTGCTACATTGTGTGTCTACTTCCTCAACAGTATTTAATAACCTGATACAAAGTGCATTAATCTTTTTTTCACCCATCAAGTACTCTTCAATGTCATGTTAAAAAGGAAACCCACACAGAGGGATAGGTATGACTTCAGTGTCATCCAGATGACATACCGGTCTGAACTGAGGTTAACCCACTGGAAAAAATTTAGCAGGTCACGTTCAGTTTTAAAAAAAACAAAACCTAAGGGAACAGAGGTAGCCAAAGGGCTTAGTGGAATGACGAAGAAGTGGCATGTCAAAATAAAGCACAAAAATAGTCCCAAAAAGCATGAAGGGAAAATAACCCAAACTTGCTTCAAATCAGCTTAAGGTTAAACAATTAAAAGTAAACAAAGTGAAGAGACTGACATTTCTATAGTATATTCTTCCACCCTGTGTGGGGTAGTATCAAGAGAAAGAGTAAGGAGCAAAGAATTTAAAACCACAGGTTCCACGGTGATCCCCTCACAAGAGTTCGTACTGGCGGAGGTGCATCCTCTGGATGATGTCTCGGCAGTCGTTGAACACTCTGCGGATGTTTTCTGTGTCCACTGCGCACGTGAAGTGTGGGTAGCAGTAATGCCGGCCGTCTCCGCTCGCTGTACTTATCCTCTGTGGAAACAGGGAGCCAAAAAACAAAAGCATCAGGTGCCATGCCATGAGAAATTTCACATCTCAGCAGTCTATGGACTTGGGGGAACCAAGAACCCTGGGAAATCTGCATATAGATCACTAAACAAAGTAAACAGAAAGAAGGGAGGGCTGTGGTCTGGTCAGTCTGAATGACAAATCTGAAATGAAGATTACAAAACATTATGGATACTGGGGTCAGGCAGGAGTCCTTTGTGGGAGCCACGGATGCCATCCTTAGCTGCACAGGCTGTCGCCATTTGTGCATCACTGTGCGGCCAAATCTGTGCTGCTGACAGCTGTGCAGCCTGCCATGCAGCTGCCCCAGGAATTGTTTTCTTTTTTTGGTGCCATCATGTGGCAAATTCTTGAACTCTTGTTTTAAATCAGCAACACAAAACCAAAACCATCCCCGTTGTGGAGCCAGCAGTGGCAGAGAACAGCATTCTACTGCTTCTACTTCTTGTGCGCGGGCCTCTGAAGTTACTTTCACTTAGAGCATCTATTAAGCCAGCTGAAGGATTGGTATCATCATTGATCTCAGAATTTGGTGAAATTATCACCAGAGTGGCTGGGTTCACTTAGAGTAGTAAAACATGCAAAAATCTAGTAAAATCAGACCATGCAGAACTACATTTTCTCAAGGTTACTGCACAACTTTTTAGGTTCTAACTTAAAGCTCTAGCATCACTTTGCCCATGGTTATCTTCTTAAAATTCCCCAAGATCTTAAAACACATACTAAAAAAAAATCCTAATTTTTATTCTGTATTACTATAGGACTGACAAATATAAATCCATTCTAGATCATTATCTTACAGAATATAAAAAAAAATATCAGGAAAGCAGAAGGTCAGTTTTTAGGATAATGATTTTTATAACTATTTTCTAAATTTTATTATAAATTACTCTAGCTAAACAACAAAAGACAGTGTTCCATCTCACTCAAGCTACACCATATATTTTTAACACAGGATTTATTTTACATGTAGGTTTGACCTTTCAAATACCTGAAGCTACAGATATGCAAAACCATAGCCAGTTAGAAGCCATAATTTACATAATTAGATCAACAAGCAATTGCAGACTTTTCCAGGTAATTTAGGTAGTATTACACATTCAACACTAATTACACAAGGGTGTTCATATACAGTCTAAAAATTATTTTCTTACCATGCTACTTTCAATACCTAGTTCGAGGCTTAACTTCATGAAAAATACTAAGAACTGTCTGCTTGTGTTTATCATGCACTGATTTCACTCATGTCTATGGCAATAAGCTGTCCACAGTGTCCTGGTTACATACACAGCATGCCAAAGGATGTATTTTCAAAATACTAGGGGGCTGTCTGTTTTTGTCACCTGACAGCTCTTGCAGTCCTCTCATTTGAAGATAAATGCAGAATTGTCACCCCTACTCGACACTCACTTTGAATTAGTAGTGTGTTACTCAGCACCAGTTCACAGGGGGAAAAAAAATCCCCTGGGACACTGATGAAAGAATATTTGCTTTCCAGGCAGGAATATTTAATACTGGCATCCCCACACTGCAGGGGTCAGGATGACATACAAATTCGAGGAATCCTGGTCTATGTGTTTGAACAGCAGCTCCTTCACCTCCCAGATTTAGGTTTTGTAAAAACCATCAGGACAGGAACCAGAGGGGCCATGCCACTGTTCTAACAGGGGTGTATTCACACTGGGGTATTTGTTTGTATCCAAACAAAATACCAGCAGCTGGAGAGCTCTGTGTGCAGAACACCAAAACAGGGCTGGGGAGCAGCCTCACCCAGGAGCACACATGCACACTGCCTCCACGAAGAGTCTGGGAGAAGAAAGGATGTGCCTGAGCTGAAGAACAGAGGATTTCCCACAAGATACAGTTGCAGGACCGGCAGATGCCCTCGCCAGTCTAGCCCTGAGGTGCAGGCACTGGCTGGGCTTGGGCCCAGCCATCCCTCCCACGCTGCTCCCTGACTGAATCTGAGGGATCCCAGCCCTGCTGCCCAACCCCGAGGGGCCACAGCCCTCACACCAGCCCTGAAACCATGAGCTGACATCTTTTGTCTTTCTAATCTATCCTGTGTAGCAATAGTTATTGGAAATGTGGTCAATTTCAACCTCCTACTAAAATTCCTCAAATTACAGGCTTTAAATTTGCCACTACCATTCCTACAGCCAGGCAGTTTTAAAGGGTGCAGCACCATGGTGATGACTGTCATGCACATCCATCGTTTATGCACACCTACTACCATGATAAAAATCACAATAAAGCATATTAAACACAGGCTTCTCTGAACCATGCCTGAAAATTTAACAGAGTGGGGCATGGAAAAGGTCATAAATCAAGGAACTTGGGAAAGAATAAAGCAAAGCCAAGGCAGACACAGGTAGAAAATACAGCCCTTTTCCTCCTGGCAGCTGGCTAAGGCCAGCAGATCCCTGCCAGTCTGTATTTCTCCTGTGCCCCTTACTCCCTCTCTGAAACCTCTTGTGCTGGCCCCAGCACAAGAGCTTCCCTTGCCCCAGCACCCACAGGGGTTTCCTGTGTGGCTGCAGTGCCTGTGTCTCCTCCCCTCCGCACTTCATAGCTGGCCTCCTTCTGCAATGCCAGTGAGTCATGGCAGGTAAGGACCTCGCCCTCGATGAGTGTTCTTAAATCATGAAAGCAGATAAAGGTGGGGAGTTTCACCCTAATTTCCCTGTAACTCATCTCTCAGAACAAACTCTCCTTCCAGACTGGATATCATCACCTGCCTCACAGGATTCCAGCATTACCACAGGAGAGATTTGCCTTGAAGCGAGTTTTTTCGGTAATTCTTACGTTAACACAGCACAATCTGACACTTTTCCTCAGGATCTGGAAGGCTAAGGCAGCAACTGGAAATCCCCAAAGTGTGAATACAGTAAATTGCTTCTTTCTTGGTGCGTCAGCAGCTGTAAATCCTAACAATGCTCGTAAATGCATAATGACTTTAAAATTCTTAATTCTAACGACTCAATTTGTTATCTCACACACACACATATAGCTTCTACCAGTAGGGCATGACAGATGAGCTTTGGTTCTGGTCTCTGATACTGCTCTGCACTGTGGGAACAACTCAGAGTGAGTGAAGCCACAAGTGATCCTGGATTACACTCTCTGACAGCAGGGCTGGGCTGTGATTGTGTGCCTGACAACAGCTTTCACCTTAAAATGTAAACACCACCTCTTCACTCCAGCTACAGAGGAAACCTTAATTGCAAGAAAAATGTGACTAGACAAGGCAACTTTATTAGGATGCTTCAGTAGGGCCATGACACCAGTGCAAAGGTGAGGTAAACCTCCTAACTGGCATACTAGAAATCTTATTTAAGCATAAAATCATAAAATCTGCCTTTTTTTTTTTTTTTTTTTTTTAATTCCTGCTGTCAGCTGATCACTGCCAAACTCCTTGAAGGAATGCAGGATAAAAGTAAGAAAGCCTATTTGTTTATGCATGGACTGTATGTGACCATTCTAAGCACTAGCACTTACTGTGTGACAATTAGCATGGCAGGTGACTTTATACAAAATGGGCATAAAAAAGTGCAGCACTGAGGAAGGTTCTGCAAGATGGGCAGCTGAAAAGAACTAGGGAATTGCCAGACGTTGTCCTCCCCTTCTAGCTTTCTACAAAACCCCATCAGTTTTCCCTAAATAAACTGTACCATCTGTCAGTATTTCCTATGATAGAATCACACATAAGATGAAAATTACTCACTAAAAACTCATCCCGGATGAAGAACTTGGCTCTTGTGACTTTGGGGTCTTCTCCTGCCTCTGGTACTGCTGTTCAGTTAAAAATAAATGACATCAGAAACACGAAAACCAAACAATCATCTATTTGTAACAAAAGATTTAGTAAGGAGGAAGTAGCCCTTCAGTACAGAAACTGAAATGTTAAATACTAGAGGAGATTCCCAGTAGGTAATTGAAAAATGAAGAGTACAGTAAAACCTGACTGTGTGTACAATATATTTTAGGAACCTGAAAATTGCTGAAATCATTGCGACAATGTCATTGGTCATATCACAAAAAGGCTTACTCACATCCACAAGCCTGTTCATATAGATATAAAACAAGTGGGAGTTAGGGTTTAGCTTTTATCAGAAAATATGACTAGAAAAAGCAGCTGAGCTGTTCAGTTTCTGCAGCAGAACAGTGTCTCCTGAAAAGAGCTTCTGCAGGCAGGAATGTGAGTTTAAAAATGGCTAGTCCAAGATTTTCCACTTGGAAAAAATGACAGCATTGAAAGACCTTTTGATATATATATATATAAAAGTATTTTAATTCCAGGCCCCAATTCAGCAGAATACTTCAGATATTGCCCATCAAGGGGTCTTGGATTAAATTCTTACTGAGCAGGAGACTTGTTGCTCAATATTAACTGTTTGTCAGCAGATGAAGTTGTCACTATACACGCCATGCAATGACTGTATTTACAGTCAGTAACAATACAGTGAAGAGATAACCTAGTTATTTCCTTTCAGTGTTATCTCTCATCTAGGATACCAAAATCAGATGCTTATAAACGTAACATTGTAAAGGCCAGAATTTATCAGAATATGGAAATGTATTTTTCATCCATAGTGCTGAGGGTAAAAATAGAGCAGCAGCACAATCAACAGCATGTTGGAATTCAATGCTGCTGCCCTTAAATAATGTCAGCTGAAACTGAAGAATAAGTGAACAACTACAGGTTAAAAATAGAGAGCTGTTTCATGTGGGAATATTCTGGATCACTCTAGATACACACTGTGAAATCCCTCTGAGAAATAACAAAAACTACTTTTTCCTGACAATTGGCTTATTATAAAAAAATGCTGAAAATGCACCCAAACTCTGTCTATGTGGTGCATGTTTGAGAAGGGGAAATTTGGGTGATGGAGATAAGATTTCTTCTGAAAACCCTTACCATTACAAAACAGATGCCAGATCAACTCAGATTTTAGGACAGTTCACATTCATGAAGTTCCAGACCTCAATGAAGGCTGAAAATAGATAATCACCATCTTCACCTCTGAACCAAGGCTGTTGGTGGTGGCTGGTGGAGAATGAAAGCCTTTTCCAACAGGTGGCTGCAAGCACCATGCCAGGGACATCACTCGGGTAAGGCAGAGGCGAGTGGTCAGAAAGTAGAAGTTTTACCCCTTTTGCTAGACAGACCTGAGACCTTTGGGAGCTCTCTGCCTGGTACACACTTGGTGTAATAGCAGAGTTTACCTCTGCAATATGTTACTGGGGCGCAGGAACCATTGCACTTCTTGAAAATAAGAAACTGATCACTCCATCAGCACAGCTCTATTCCTATCTACTGATGTAGTTTTCCTCCATTAAAGTTCCCTTACTGGTCTGCTGGGGCTTCCCATCAGTATTTCAAAAACTGGAATTTACAGTATTGGAGGATGCAGTGGCTGCAAAGTAAGTCTCATGAATCCCCAACAGTGTTCAGCACTGTGGGAGGCTCAGGCAGAAGCATCTGGGAAGGGGGAGATGTGTGGCTGCTTTGCTGCCCTGGGACTGGCGGTTCCCCCCCGAAAGGGGAGGGCAGGTGCTGTGGAGCCAGAACCCCTTCAGACCCTACTCACACTGGGAGCTACATGCTGCTGGCATGCTCCTTACCTGACCAGCAGCTCATGCCAAGGAACAGTGTGTGCTTGTGAGTGTGAGTGTGAGAGACAGACAGAGAGACAGGGAGAGGAGCTATGGGCTGGGCCATGCCAGCAGGTCCAATCCCAGCACGGGGAGAAACCTTACCATCCTCAGGTACAGTATAATGCGCGTATTCAGGAAAGTAATCTTCAATTTTTGATTTCCCTGCCAAGACTTTTTCAGCCAGCATGTCCTGTTTATTCAAGAATAAAATGATAGAAATGGTCCGTAACCACCTGTCAAAAACAAACCAGATGTTTGTGTTATCTCTGACACGTTAATCAAGAAAAATGTATCACATAGATAGGAAATTTACTGGCTATTCCTGTGTGGACAGAGTGTGAAATAGTGTAGAACATGCTTCAATAAAAAAAAAAAAAGATGACCTAAATTATTGTTTTGACTGGTCTGCACCTGTGCTGGTGGGTATATTTCTAAGGTCAGTAAATACATTTATAAAAACTGTAGTGGACATTGCTGAAGGAGGCAGTTTTCAAAATTTTTTTCTAAATTCTCTTTTAGATATCAAATTGGGAAACTGGTGACATTTTCTAGAAGCGCCACAGTTTATGACCAGACCTGCTTTATTTGGTTGTGATTAAAAAAAAAAAAAAAAAAAAAAAAAAAAAAAAAAAAAGAAGAAAAAAAGGGCTAGAAAGCTCCCTTCCCTCAGACTGCTCTAAGCTACTGCTCATCCACACAGATATCCCATCTTTTAGGGTGGCCTGTATGACACCTGATGAATGGAAAGAAAATAATGTCTCTTTTCTTCCCCAATTAATCCATCACTGTGACAATGTGCCTTGGGATGTGCAGTTAACATTCCTCCTTCACTCTACCTTCAATCACATCTCAGTGCAGAGCATCCTCACAGGTATGTGCTAAAAACTTCATCACCTTATTTTGCACATTGTTTTTACTTGTTCCATACCAGGAGCCCATTTGGGTTGCTATTTGGTTATGTACCTAGATTTACAGGCACTGTGGCAGCATGGCAATTTAATGGCACTTCCAGTTAGGTTAGGGCTGAAGCATCACCCCAAGGCAGAGGTACCCTGTGCTCTCAGAGCTGACCCTTACGAGAGCAGCTGCCCGCCAAGGAACAAGCACAGGGAGCTGCTCCTGCTGCTGCTTTGGAGGAGGAGATCAAATGTTCCTCAGAGGACCTTGGTCTCAGCCAAGCAGCAGAGTGATGCCAGGAGAGGGTCTTTCCTGCCTCCCTTGCAGCAGCCAGCCTGAGGGGGCTTGCCTTTTCCAAGCTGCTCCCATGCCCTGCATCATTTTGGAAGGAATGGTGGAACACCTGTCCTGTGCCATGGCCCCTGCCAGGGAGGGATGTCACCGTGGGGATACTCTGAGACCTGCCCAACCTGGGTATTTTCTGAACAAACAATCTGAGCCTACAGCAAGGGGAGTCCTATTTTGAAAGGAGGTGAACTGTAAATAAACTGGGAAGGGTGGTGGAAAATGAGGTTTGTTTTACCTATTATTCCAGATACTTTTGAAAAGGTCCAGGGATTCCCGTAGTCTGTTTGTGTTATTGTCTTCCCTTATTACCATGTTGTAGCTACTGCAAGCCACAACGAAGATGATAGCTGTGACATCTGGACAGAACACACAAAAGAAAGAAGGAAAGAAAGGAGAGAGAATAGAACATCTTTGTTATCCCAGCACATACTCCTCAGGGTAACACTGCCATTACTCACCAATCAGCCAAAACCACCAGAAAAAAGTTTATCTGTAACACTGGACTTCTGTGCCAGTGAGGTATTGTGTGTGGGTATGAACACTAAGCTGCTCACACCTCAGAGAATAAGTTTAAAATAAAACACAGAATGTTTTTACTTACCATTAAAGCATTGGATCCATTTTCTTCTCTCATCCCTCTGGCCACCTACATCAAACATGCTGTTAAAAAGCCATAGGATGTTATATCACTTATGTGCACTAGAAAAAATCACACGAAGCATGCACAGCACGAAGGTTCAGTTTAAAAATCTGACAGCCCCAAGGACAGGGGCAGTAAAATATCACCTGAAGAGGAGAGATCTGCTGATGCTGCACTGCATGTCAGAGACAGCTGCACTGCTCCACCTGCCCTGCTCTGCCAGGAGTAGGCTATTGAACCCATAAAATGAGAAATACACTCTTCAAGGACAAGTGTTGGCCTTTCCAGTCCACAGCAGCGCATATGGCGTGTAATACTGTACTATAAACAAGTACAGGTTTCAGGATATTTTGAAGAGTGGTGGAGAAAGGGCATCTCTGTATGGAGGAGGACATGAAGCAGCTCAGCCCTGTCAGCACTGGCACCCTTCTGGGCAAGAACTGGAGAGAGAAGCCAGTCTGCCTGTGGGTGTTTTAGACACACAGCAAAAAACTTTGAGAAACACAGAGCTTGCAGCCCTCTGGAAGAAGGGAGGATTCCCACTGACTTCTGTGAGCTCTCATCCCCAAAGGTATTTTATGATTTTATACTGCTACACCAATGCACCAGTTTTTACAAGAAGCCACACACAACCCTACTATAGAGCACTGCGAATATACGTAACTAATTAAAGCTATTTTTGCAAAGTATGAGGTAATTTTACTAGGACCTCCGGAAAGAGAGCTAAAAAGCCAAATCAAACAACAAAAAACCACCCACTCCCATCCTAAAAGCCTGCTATACCATGCATACATGAACAGAGACATCTGAATGAAGCTATTAAAAATGAGTATGATTATTCATAAATCATTACTAACAGACTTACTGGAAATTTACTTTATCTACTTGAAATCTTGTTTCAAAAATCCCTGATGTCAACACTCTGCATCTTAATAGGTCCTGGAAATGAGAACACAGAAGCTGATTAGTACGGCTTTTTTTCTAACCTAATTTTGTTCTTAAAAGCTTGGAATATTATTTTCCATGAAAAGTCTTAAATGTTTCATTTAATGAAAGTTCAATCAGACCCGTTGGTAAATTGGCATTTTTCTGTACTGACATGGTAAATAAACTTAATAATGATCACTGCATTTGGTTTGGGCACTCAGAAAGCAGGAGAACTCATCTATGTTCTCCTTACTGCCCACTGAGACCTGTTCTTGGTGGTTATACACCTTGGTATGTCATGAGGATAATGAATTCTGAAGTTACATAAAACTAAGAAAAATGTTATTCATGTTGTAAAGTCAAGTATTTAAATGTTAGAAAACTCCAGATTTACAGTTGCCCAGGCAACCTTAACTCTGCCCTCTTTTGTACTGAATGAGACAGGAATCCTATCAAAAGAATAGCTTGTGACTGAGTAATTAAAGCTCTGTTACAGAGCACAAGGGAACAGAATTTAGGCTGTGCAGAAATATGGAATTTCTTTCCTGTTTTTTTTAAACTAGCAATACTTTACAACTTAACCAAATCTCCTTCAATAATTAAAAAATAAAAATTTCCTCAATTCTCAAGGGGAGTAGGCAAAAGCAATTTATGATGCCTCCTTCCTGGATGGAAGGAGGCACAGCTTGCCTTTTTTCCCTCCCCTACTGTTGACTGCTTCCGGTAGCCAAGGCAAACCTTGGCTGCTTTGACAGCTGCATGCACTCAGCTGAAGGCCATTTATTTAACACTTTTAGTTATTTTATATGTTACTGTCATTTTCTGTCACTTGCTGTCTTTGCTATGGTGCAAAAAAATACCCCAAAAACCAGAAAGCAAGGGAAGAGAAGAAATAGGTGATTTTTACCAGTTAATTCAGCAAGGCAACTGATACAGTGCAACAGGACAAAAACAAAATCAAAAGAGAATCCCCCCTTCAGAGCAAAAGTTTTCCACCTGCCAAATACCAAGGGCCTTTTCTGATCTTTCAAGACATTTCTCCCCAAAGGAAATATCAGGAAGAATTTCTAGGTGATGAAAGACTATTTCAGGTAGAGAAGGGCCTCCCAGGAACAAACAGGAACTAATGTAAATAATGAAAGCAAAACTGAGGCTTTTCTTCACTGACTTCTCTCTCCAGGTGAGAGAAGATGCTAAAACCACCTTGATGCTAAAACCATGAGGTCTAGATGGAGCAAACCCCAGTGCTAATTCCTTTGGTCAGAAAATGTCTTGAGTGTTTGAATAATTGATCCTATATTGGGTTGACTATAGACATGCTTGTGGTTATGGACCTAAATTAAGTCTGAAGGGACAGGCTCTTCTCTGCATGCTTCCTTGGGTGATCTCTGGCAAGTCACCTAATTTCTCTGAATTTCACCCCTAACTGCACAGTGAGATGTGACAACTTTGTTTTTGTTTTTTTTTTTAAGGGTATCCACCTGTTATATGCCTTGCATTGTTAGACTGAATTTTCCAGTGCAGGAATTCTCTTCTGCCACCTGTATTTGGAGTTTATGACGTGGCCCACAATCTTGGCTGAGACTGCTAAATGACAGTGGGATAGCAGCACTGAAAAATAACAACTTCAGAATGTTTGCTGAAGAGACAGCAAAGGAAAGCACACAGCCTGAGCTCAGGAAAGGCAGCTGGAGCCAGGCAAAATGGTGAAGCCCCTCCTTACTTCAAGACTGCACCAGTTCAGCCTTAACATGAATGCGTTTGCCACTAGAGCACTCCATCAAGATGTATCACAGCATTTGGGAAAAAAAAGTACTGACTTGCAAATTAGGCTTGAATAGAAACTCTGCTACCCTCAGGAGATGGGCACAGCCTGCAAAGAAGGAATCTGCAGGCCTGCAGAGAAGTTTGCAAGCTCTGCTGTTGCCACTGGTGCTCTTCCCTGAATCTGGACACCTTACTGCAAGCTTTTGCCTGGGAAGGACCCTTTGGATAGACACGGGAAGTCTCCCTCTGGGGTCACCTCCACCACTGAAATAAAGCATTGCTTCTCTGTACCAAAGGCTGGTGAGGGAAACCATAACTTCTTACATTTATGCTTTCTGTTCTTTTTTCCATTCACTTTTTTTTTTTTTGTGGGACACAGAATGGGAAACAGGAAGACAAAATGGATGTATTACAAGAATCACAGACCTAGATGTTACAATAATAAAAGACAAGTTTGCACCACCAAAATGCCTCTTCTTTAATATCCATTACTTAAACTACTAGACCATATTTTGCTATTCTGCCATATGCCCTATTTCAGCTGCAGTAGGGACTAAAATAAATTACACAGAAAATCCAGATGAACGTCAGTCTTAGTTCAGACCCTACCACATTATTTTTACTAACCTGATCTGTGGGTGTGTAGTCATCCATGCTGACGCTGTCAATTCTTTCTAAAAAGCTAGAAAAAAAAATAAACGCACACTTAGATATGTACAATACTGTCTAGTAAAATACTCTTCACTACCTTTTCCAGTTTACAGTCCTGCTGAGAAGTGAAACACAACATGAATGGTAAAGTTAGGAGCCTGATTATTTCCATATACTGCTCAAGGTTACATTTTATAACAAACACTTTACCCAGATCTTTTTTCAACACAGCACTTTTAAAGTTACCATTACGCAGCACTCACAAGTGGTTCAAAATGCAGTTGAAATGCTACAATTTTATGAGGTCCACTAAAAAATACTACAACTAACCACAGATCATAACATCGTATGGTTGTTAAGACTTAAAAAAGATTTTGGGATTTTATGTAGAAAATGTGGCAAAGGGGTGCCTTTATTTAGTATAATGCTAATCAAGTATAATGTTATGTTAATTATGGTCTCAGTTATGTTAGCAGAAATGCTTGTTGGTACATACAAAAAGCTTTGGACTGACTTGCTGCCCTCCAACACTGCAACTAAAGCACAAAAAGTGGAGGTTAATGAATCTGATTCTTTATGTCACCAAAACTCAGTGACATGCACGGAGTAAAAGAAAGACTTCCAGCTGCAGGGAAGGGCAAGAGAAAAGAGAACCAGAAAATCAGAGGGGAACTACATTCTATGATTATTTAAAAATTTTTTCAAGCTTTAATTCTTTCCTAATATGTGTTAGAATGGCAGCACTTATGGATATAAAAATGTGATTTTATATTTATTGCTAAAGAGGCAGGTTCTCCTCCCTCACTTCCACCCATTTCTTAAATCTCCTGTGAGCCCAGCTGGCTCCTTTCTCCCAGACTGCCTGTATAACTTAGAAGCCTTCTTTAATTTCTATGTTGTTATTTGGTATTTGGCAGTGAATATCCCATTGGCTGACACATCCCACTACAATATTATCAAGACTTTTTTATCAAAAGGCAAGTTTTCCCCAATTTTACTTGAGTGTGCACTTGGAATACATGTCCCACTTAACTGCAGTGGGAAAGAAAGAAAAAAACGTGAACTCTTGACTTAAAATGTAACTCACTGTTAACACAGAGGTCAGACATACTGGCCAGTTGAAAAAATAGCCCCTAAAAGCTGTTTGTAACTCTCATAGCAGTTTCCCATGGATATGAACCGAAAGGAAAATACACTGCATATATATTTACTTAATATATTTTTCCTTTTCAAACCTCCACTGTTATAGCAGGGAAACAAAACAAAATACAGTATCTACAATTAGAATATCCAGCTTTTCTTTCTGGATGATCAAGGTGTGATAGATAAGCACAGGGTTTAAAAAAAAAAATCACTGTTTAGCACAACCCAACAGGTGCCTGTTAGCAAAACTATATGGAAGAAACTCTGAAGAAAAAGCATCATTTCACAAATCCTCCTTCCTTGCCAAAAGCCCTATAAATTTATATAAGGATATAAAAGTACATTTTTATAGTCAGCTGCAGTCACCATGGGAAATCAGTTTTATTCAGGTTGAACCTTTTGGTCAGATGATTGTCATCACCTTGACTGAGCAAAGTTTAACTTCAGTTATCCCACGGTTCATGCAGACGCCGGAGCAGAGCGATGCATTTTTAAGCAACACACCTATCACTGGGAGAACTCTTGCCTCATGCTTGCAGCACAGAACATGAAAAAAAGAAGGCAAAAAAGCCCAAAGCAAAAATGCCTCCAGGCTGAAATTTCCTGATTAGAGTAATTTTCCTTAACATGGATGTTCTTCTTTGTTCCAAAGTACAGACTATGTCTGACATGGAAAGGGATCTGCTTAAGAGTGTAGACTGAAGTCAGTGTTTGTGCACAAATACAACTCCATCACAAACCTTGCAAGACAGAGTGAAATGGCTTTTTTTTTCAGAAACATATCTTGTGAAGTTGGTGTATAAATCAGAGACAATACCTCTTGTCTCCACAGTACCAGGACAATTTTGGCAGAACTTATCCAAAATGGATCAACACAGTATTAAGTGCAAACTCACCCCTTCCTCACCTATACAACAAGTACTTAAGGAAGGTTTTTGGTTGTTAGCACTTGCACATTTCAAACAGGCAAATCATGGTAAGGAACAGAGGAGCGAGGAGTAATGCAGTTACACTACACACAACCCATGGCAGGCTGGGAAAGAGGCAAGTCTCCTAATTAGATGTCCTTCCTATGAGCTGAAGTCATCTTCCACTTCCTCCCAGTAGAAAGACCAGTTTTGAATATCCTGAACTGCAACACCACAGCTAAGACAGAGCCAGCTCTGACAAATATCATGTGTTCAAAAAATATCATTTGACACAGCAGCTGTACCATTTTATGCTTGTAAGGTTGCTGTCTGCATGTAAGCCATATTAAAATAAATGCAATGATTTACAAGGTTTTACCTGCCACCTTGCTATAACAAGCTGGAACAGTATCACTAGCATTCAATAAATCCACATGCAGCTATCATTAGGATTGGGATAAATTTTGTAGCTTTATAGGAAATTAACCTTTTCAGTGTGTGATGGACAGGCTTCCTAAGATTTCTTCTGCAACGACATTGTTAAGTGTGCAATGAGATTTCTTAGACAGAGAAACACAGACAGCTACACTCTTAGCTTTTCAAAAGAAAAATCAGTTCTTGAATATTCTTCATATGAACTCCTTACTTGGCTAATTAGCACAGCATCAGATCTAGTCCTGACAGGCAAATGTGCATACTGGGTACAAGAAATGGATTCCAGATGAGATAAGGAGTCAGTACTGCCTCATTTCCTAACACACTAACTACATTCTCATTACTGTATTAAAAAGGGAAAGCTGAAATTACTTTTCTAAACTGATTTCTAGAGAATGTTAACTTCACCTAACCCTAATTGTCTTGAATCATTATGTTCTGACAAAATATAGATTATTTTATACATATATATATATACACACACATACATATCAGCAAATTTTGAATTGACATGACTGAAATTTCCATTTAAAGAACCTAAAGTACAAAAAGATCTGCTGTCTCAATTCAAAGAATCAGTGCAAGGAAAACATAATAACAGAAGAATGAACAAAAATGGACACAAAGTATCACTCTCTTTTTAGATACTTTTTTTTCTTCAGCTCAGGGATGTAAATATTTTCACAGAATCATGCCTTTTTACAATACTGACAGGTCTTCTATTTATCTAGCTTCTATAGAAACCCATACTCGGGATTTATGTTAATTCTAAAGTGACTGTTTTGCATGCATGTGCAATGAGCTTCAAATTCACACATTCAATTCAACAGTGAATAAAACAATAACATGATGCAATATTTACATTTATATTTCACAATTGTGGTTTTACTTATAAAGGATTCAGTCAGATAATTAGTATGACATTTATGTTCTTTTTAATTTTACATAGGGTGTTTTAAATTTTCTTACATGGAATAGCAGAAACTACCCTTTTCTACAGAAATTAATTAGGCAAGTTATTGAAAGGAAGGTCTCTGGCTCTGGTTGGAAATGCAGTGGTTTGGTTTAGCAACAAATTAAAGCAAACTAAAATGGACCAATAAAGTTAAAAAAAAATAATGAGCTACTGACATTATTATATCTATTATTAAGCTGATCTGTAGTTTTATAAATATCTTCAGTGAGTTTCCTAGGAAACTCAGCTGACACTTAGTTTGACAAGCAATCTCTAAATTTTGTATTATGCAAGCTGTGAACACAAAAGTACAGGTTTTAGATGTGCCTGCCAGTGCATGTGGGAACTATCAATAAGCATTATTCTCTTTAAAAACCATGGCAATTTGAGAAGCAGTAGCAGCTATATAAGAATTTCTAGAAAAGGGATTAATAAATGCACAAATAAAGAGGAGGTAATCGTACATGAAAATTCTTTTTTCACTAAATAAATCACTACATGGCTCTGTGTAGATATTCTGACTCCACAAACAAAATGACAATTAAAAGAAAAATCGTGTCTTGAGAATAATATGATTGACAGAAACCCCATGCTATATTTGTGAAAGCGTACTTTGACATCCAAAGAATTGGAAAGATGAAGTGCTAAATTACAGATCAATACAACAAACTAGGTATTTTAATAACTCTTGATCTACTTCAGGCATTTTTATGCTCTCATCTGAACATTTCAATGGCCTTACATCAAAAAATTCCAAGGGAAAACAAGAAATCAAACCCATTCAAAATGATTGCCTCTTTAAAAGGAAAAGGTATTGTGGCAAATCTTTAAGGTTTTAAGTTCTCAGAGTGAAGAATCTCAAAACTACCTTCAGGTAAGTTGTGGGGTCAGCAAACCTTTACAATTCAGATGGACCATTAAGATCTTTGCAAACATCTCAGTCAGGCTCAAATAACAATACATATATATGTATGTATATGGAACCATCTAGCACTAGGACTTTTAATTCCACTCTCCTTGGATATAAAGTCATAGGTGAGGCAGATACTTCACAAGAAAAACACACACCCCAAGTCTCTAGGGAGGTGAAATGGAAAAGACTTTTTTTTTTTTCCTTTTTATTTTCTGCTGCAGTTCTCAGGGCCAACATCAATATTGCACTTTTTCCCCCCTTCCCCCCCATATATATAAAAATCAGCTTATCCATTACAATCCATTAATTTTTCCAGCAACATTTGAAACAGGAAACTGCAGATTTTTGTTTTTGAGAATACCTGAATACCTTAGGCTCTAAGGTTGGGCTCCAAGCAAACTCACACTATCCTGATGTATTTCTAGATAACTGAGAAATACATAATGAAAACAGCCTCCAGTAATATTATAACCCCTAAAGGATTCATTTTCCCAAGTCATTTGCTGAAAATATCAGCAGAAATCCCTCAGAAAGCTTGGCAAAATTTAGTGGCTAACGATTTTCCTGCCGAATTTAAATTATCACTATATTTGAAATACAGCTTCCAGGTGTTAGAGGAGCACTCCCCTTCTCTCCCTCCACCCCACTCTGCAGCCACTTCCCACCAGGAGCCAGCA